ACTGGAATACTGTTAAAAGCGGCGATTAACCCAACTCACTCACTCATTCCTGAGAGATATGGAACCCAGTTTGATTACTTCAGTGAATGAGGTTTCTTCAAGCTCTAACAGCCATCATGTGATACATCTACGTTTGGAGGTTTAGTTTCTCACCAAACAATCATGAACTCATGAGCAATTTCAATAAACAAACTGTGTTTTCAATGCAGAGCTAGGTTACCTGTAGATTAAAATGCGTTAAATTGAATTTAGAAGAAAATAGTTCCACATTGCCACACATACGGTACTTTGAATATTCCAGGAACCATCTGAATTTTGTAACCCATAATTATACATTCAACTTTAACTTGTAATGCATATCGCCAATGACTGAAAGAGAAGTACTTTTCCATAAATATTAGTTTCCATTGTAATGCACATGTTTGCTTTTTTTGTTATTTGATACCTCTTATTGACCAATCAGAACAGAGTAATTTCCAAATTCATAGTAGAATTAGTGATTTAGTTAGGTTTCATGATGTTTCAGCCTAATGTGGGAGGATTGCCAAAAACAACACAGGTCCTTGACATTTACATTTTCAGTGAATACCCTATCTTCCCGAGGCCAGAGAGTTAACTGACTATAATTGTCCAGTTTCCACCCTTGCCGGACGAGGCTGGTATTACAGGGTTACATTCTGGCTTGACTAACGAGTCTATGCATAATCCAATCAAAATCCCGCAACGAAATCGAAATCCGGTTAGTAAACTGTCGTGTAGATTTCGGTTGTTTGCAGGATTTGCAAAGCATGTACACCGCAAACAAATTGTCAACAGATATTTTCCCTATCTTTTTTAATGAAGGTGCTCATGCAGTTTGAGGCACTTCTCGACGTCAGACCCCTTTTATAACAATATGGATCTTGATTATCGATAGGATCGTCTTGGCTGGGCGCCGCCATTTTGTTTGATACAAATGCAAGTGATATAAGAGGTGGAATCTGATTGGTCCATAGGAGAGGCTGAGACGGGACATGACTCGTAATAACCACTGGTGGCCCAGGAATTCCAGCCTTGTTCGGCAAGGGTGGAAACTGGACTTTTATAGTCAGATAACTCTCTTGCCTCGGGAAGATGTGAATACCCATGAGCACAGGAAAGGTGCCGACAAACCAAGGATATGAATCACAGAGAATCAGGGACCTCAACCCAGGATCAGCAGATCCTGGTAGCCAAGGGACATAAATATGTACATCTCTTTGCAATGTGATGAAAAGGATCAAGTATCACTTGGTCATCTCAAGCAAAAATAGTGAAATTCGTTTTTAAGTTTTCTCCATTTGTCATTAAAAAAAAGAAAGCAGCGTCTTTAAAGTACGAAATATCTAAAAAATGTAATTAAAGACAAATTTCAGTCAAGCATAATTTTTTTGGAAAACATCAATTGTACCATTCATGATTATGACCAAAAAAATCACACCGAGACACAATCTTAATCTTCTGACGACATCTAACTGGGTCATTCAATCATTACTCCAACTACTTCATGCGATCATTGCTCCTTGAGTCTTGTGTACTGGTTATCAACATTCCATTCAATTGCAACACAATATACATGCACAAGTCATGAGTGAGTGAGTGAGTGATTATTGTTTAATGCTGTATCAGCATTCTAGCAGCTATTTACAGCAAGGTACAAATCATGAGTAGGTGAGAGATTCATGCTGCATAATATAAGTTGTAGCACGATCCCGAGGGATAGATGGGGTTTTATGCGTTCCACGTTAGGTTTAATACCATGAGCGTGAGCTGAGGGACGCATAAGACCACCCCCAGTGATCCTGCTACAACATATTCATCTTCCCGACATGTTTTTACATTACATTGTAAGAAAATTATAAACATATTCAAAATTGATAGAAAACAGCTGTTCAGTTGAGCTGAGGTTAACTTGTGCTATGTCATTGTCGAATAAAGCTGCGGGGTATAAGGGATTTATTCTGCCTTTCAGAAATCCATGTTCAGACTGACTTGTTTGTGGCGCGGTATAAGAGATTTATTAACCCGCTTATTTCCCTCCAGGGCTGGATACATAGTATTTTATCAAGATCACGTGGACCAATCAGATCACATCATTCTGACATGGAGGTAGGATAACATTAGTTTAATAACTATATTAACATCAATGGGGAAATTTGCAATTTCAATTTGGGAACCTTTACTGACACTTGTTGCGGAATTTGGCCCCTGAGCAGGTCGCGATGAACCCCTGTACTTGGTATGTGTCAGTCTCTTGATTTGAAGCCCTCCACCCACGCACGTTATGATCAACAAGCCCTCAATATGGCTCAGCCAAGACAACAGCCGGCCAGTTAGAGTCTCGTTTGTTTGTTATTCTTGTTTATTGTTTACAGTATATCACGTACAACCAGGCTTGGGGAGAAAGGCCCTCTATAGTCTTGTTTACCCTATATCATGTTATGAAGATATAGGACATAAATCCAGCGTCGCTTTCTATCAGAAGTAATTTGGAAGAAAAGGGCTGAGATCCAATTGTCGGACCTGACTATGGATAAATATATGGAAAATAATAACGGTCATAAAGAAACACTTAGACAGTTTGAATGAAAATGATTAACATACATTATTCTGGTTTCAAAGACATAATGCTGGAATGATCCAAGTAACCATGGAAACTGAAATATTACATGATGGTATTCTCTGAAATTAGGGAAATGAAGTTTTAACATAATTGTGTCATGTGTAGATTAGTGAAGTGTTAATGTTCAAGCATACTTTAATCTAAAAAATTCACAACATCAAAGTGGGCGGTTTGAAGCATCAGTAGTTAGACACACAATACAATGTCAACAAACACTTTCATGATAATGCAATCATGCTTCTTACTTTTATAATTCAAGTAAGACTTAAAAATAGGTTCATACATATAATATTTATATTTATCATCCAAAACAGGCTCCCACAGGAGATATCGCTTGGGTGAGATCAAGCGATATCTACACTGTAGATATCGCTGCAATAAAATTGCATCACAATGCTTTGTGACATAATTGGTTACCATGACGTCACAATCAAATGACATCACTAATGGCTCTGCTATTGAAGCTGTTAGCAGTACTTTTTACGCTTAAGACACTGCTTATTACTGTCTACAAACTGAAAAAGTTGGAAGAATGATGTTGGATGATAAAAAAATTCTCACCCTCCTGTCTTTTGATATCAGATATATCAACATTCGTTGATAAAAGTGGAAAAAATCCTCGGCAAGCCTTGGAGTTTTCCCACTTTTATCAACTCGTGTTGATTTATTTGATATAAAAAGACACTCGGGTGAGATTCTTTATATCAGTACATTCCCACTCCAATGTGGGGCAGGATGTACAAACACATGGACAAACATTTCAAAACCAATCAGTTTTTTTTTCAATTTGAAATTTCTATGACAAGCCAATTAACAGTGACAAGCAATAACTACAGATTCCTTTAAGCACAAATAATGCTGACGTCATCAGGATAACAACTTTTTTGTCTGCAGCATAATTGTAACATGATTGATACATCCATTCATTCGTTGCCTGTTATTTGCAAATGTTCAAATCCTATCAACACTAATTTATCTAAGTTTTAGATCAATCTACCTTTGAGGCAATCAAGCTCCCTTTTTTCCACCCCTTAGACATCCAGCACTCTGCTACCCTTACCCTGCAGGTAATAAGACTTTGTTCACTCAACCCTTCAGGCAACCCAGCCCATGTCTACCTTCACACTCAGGCAATCAGCAACATCATGATCACCCTATCCCTCCAGGTATATCTGCTATGTTCACACCGCCTCCTCAGTCAACCAGGGCTACGGTCATCCTAACCCCACAGGCAACCAGGTCTACAGTCATCCTAACCCCACAGGCAACCAGGTCTACAGTCATCGTAACCCCACAGGCATCAAGGTCTACGGTCATCCTAACCCCACAGGCAACCAGATCTACGGTCATCCTAACCCCACAGGCAACCAGGTCTACGGTCATCCTAACCCCACAGGCAACCAGGTCTACGGTCATCCTAACCCCACAGGCAACCAGGTCTACGGTCATCCTAACCCCACAGGCAACCAGGTCTACGGTCATCCTAACCCCACAGGCAACCGGGTCTACGGTAATCCCAACCCCACAGGCAACCAGGTCTACAGTAATTCTAACCCCACAGGCAACCAGGTCTACGGTAATCCTAACCCCACAGGCAACCAGGTCTACGGTAATCCTAACCCCACAGGCAACCAGGTCTACGGTCATCCTAACCCCACAGGCAACCAGGTCTACGGTAATCCTAACCCCACAGGCAACCAGGTCTACGGTAATCCTAACCCCACAGGCAACCAGGTCTATGGTAATCCTAACCCCACAGGCAACCAGGTCTACGTCATCCTAACCCCACAGGCAACCAGGTCTACAGTCATCCTAACCCCACAGGCAACCAGGTCTACGGTAATCCTAACCCCACAGGCAACCAGGTCTACAGTGATCCTAACCCCACAGGCAACCAGGTCTACAGTCATCCTAACCCCACAGGCAACCAGGTCTACAGTCATCCTAACCCCACAGGCAACCAGGTCTATGGTAATCCTAACCACACAGGCAACCAGGTCTATGGTAATCCTAACCCCACAGGCAACCAGATCTATGGTAATCCTAACCCCACAGGCAACCAGGTCTACAGTCATCCTAACCCCACAGGCAACCAGGTCTACGGTCATCCTAACCCTACAGGCAACCAGGTCTACGGTCATCCTAACCCCACAGGCAACCAGGTCTACGGTCATCCTAACCCCACAGGCAACCAGATCTGTGGTAACCACAACCCCACAGGCAACATTTGTATCATGGTCAGTCTCACTCCTTCATCTATTGCTCACCTTACTCCACAGGCAACGAGCTCTATCGTCCCCCCCCTCCCTCCCCTCAGGGAACCGAGCCTGTAAACCCCACCCCCCCAACCCCACCCCCCACACACACACACACTCAGGAAACATGTCCGTATGGTCCCCTAGCTAACTCAAGGGACAAGCTGATTGGTCACCAAACCCCTCAGGTCACCTACTCTATGGGAACACCCCCTACCACCTGCATCGGGGGAATCCAGAACTCTTCAAAGTTAGGAGGGGCACATTCACTGGACTTAGAATTGTGGGAAGGGGGCTCCACGATTATGACAGCTTATCTTTGAGCCAGTGCAGAAACTGCCAAACTGCTGCTTTGAATTGTAACAGTGACACTAGAGATAAGAAAACACTTGCTGTGATCAGTGCATTACGAGCAAGTTAGCGTCAAAGCATCCACATCAGCGAGCACCTTGCCTCACTGGTCACAGGGCTTCACTTGCCATCACTAAAGATCCCACCCTTCCCTACTGGCCTATATAGCAATGGATACACACCTACCCCATCACACTCAGTATTTCCATCATTGCAATTGTTGGCATGGTGATACATATTGATCGTATAAATAGCAAACTTGGCATGCAATGTCAGGAAATAAATACACTTGCTCAAAGTCGGAACAAATCGTTTTGGCACAAATAATCTATCACCTATTATGCCATATTTGTTTATAGAAAAATCAAGGGGAGACAACTGATCAGGATTCAGCACCAGTTTGACAAGCTGAATCTTCCATTGGCCTTTCCTTAAGAATCCGATCTCCTGAGGTCGTGCAGACCTCTAGGATCTCGCGCAGGGCCTTGTTCTCGGTCTGCAGCTGTTTCACCTGCTCCTGTTCTTTGCTCACGGAATCATCATCTATCTTTACAGCCTTGTGCATCACGGCGGCCATTTCATCAATCTTGTCCAGCAGTTGCACAACTTCCTCCTGGCAGACATAGAGGGATGTCCATGTTTAGCACAACATTTGTACAGAATGTATAAACACATGGGTGGACCTGCTAATTGTTGGCATGATCATGATGATTAGGGTGTAGATATACCGTAAATCTTGAAATTAACGCAAGCGTGAATTAAATGCGAAAAATGTGAATGGTCTTTATTTACATTAATTAACTTCGCATTTATGTCTCCAAAATGAGTATCAACAATAAGACAGCCTCACTGCACGCTTTGGATAGCCGAAATACCAACTAGAATACTAACACGTTTTTTGAGCAGCAGTTGTGACATGTATATAACAAAGAATAGGAATTACACAATAGGCATCCGGGGAGTTATCACTGCTTGGGTCAAGCGTCCTACCTACTCGTGTCAAGCTTGTTGACACCTTCTCCGCATACAATCAGTGAACTGTTGATGGTTCAATTATTGTATGGCCTTTGAACTTCCTTAATGCCAGTCAACAGAGTAAACATATAAACTGTTTGTTGTTTTAAGGGAAACACTATTTATTGTTTTTACGGAAGCGCTCTACTCAGCACAAATAAGTCGCATTGATTTTGGGTCGCATTTTCGGCCAGGGGTCAGCAGTCGTATTAATTTGGAGACGCATTAATTTCCAGATTAACCAATCTCATTAAAATCAGATCTAGCTTCTCGCTGTCGCTAAACAAAGATCTGAGATCATGTCAGAACCTTTCGCGAACTCCGACTGACCACTGAAATGACTAAGAAGTCGACATCAGCCAATTAGAAAGCAGCTTTCTCGAGCTTTACGGCACTCGTTTCAACCTGTCGACTTCCATTTCAGACTACACTTGAAAAATATGTTGACACAATTTTGATTTTGAAAACTAAACAATCGAACATTCCGGAATGTCTAATATATGGTTGAGATTGCATGACAGTGATTCCCACATACTGTGCAATGCCTCCTCTGTTCAAATATTTATCCCACGGAAGCAAGAGATAGACGATAATTTTGATGGAATCAGTCTGTAGTTTGGAATACCCGGTGTTATTGTTTTCAAGGTTGCATAATTAGAAAACACATTCCAACTGTCACTTTTACGATCAGTGGCGCTTTGATTGGTCGGATGAAAGGTCGTTCTGACGTGACCCCTAATGGGATGTCCTCAGATCTTTGTTTAGTGATAGCGAGAACTAAGATCTGATTTTAATGAGATTGCAGATTTACAGTATCAAAATAAAAATATCTCAATCAGAGAATGCAAAATAAATACCATGCCAAGTGAAATTCTAATATTACATTGCTAACCCTTTACTCTTCAAGAACTTGCATCATACACAAATTATTGTTAGATCTGGCATGTCAAATTCAATCCTTGATTAACGATAGTTAGGACTTTGTGATCAACACCTTTCTTACTTTCGAGTTGTCTCCCTTCTGCGAGATGAGCTTCTCGACTCTGTTGCCCTGGATGAGCTGCATGATCTGCTCCCTGTACTTCTGCATGATCAGCTCAAGAGCTGACTGGTGCTCCTCCAGGGACATCTGCAGCTCCCGGTTTTCCTGCTGCAGCTCCCGTATCTGCCGGTTCTCCTGTGCTATGCCCAGCACCAGGGCTGACCGGGGCCGATGTTTGGCGATCTCATTCAGCTCTGTTATGTCATCTTGGTACTGGACAATGTAGAGAAAAGGTATGAACTGCCACGTCAGCATGATCAAGATGAAAAGGAACTATGAACAGAAATTACGAAACTAGGCCACTCTAAATTCAATTTTGTTTCTTAAGAATTTTTTTTTTCCAAAAGTAAGGAAGGCCTGGGAATTTTTATTATTTTTGAAAAACAAAATAAACAGTTAAAACTTGAAACATTTGATTAATCCTGGAGGTAGATGGTTAGTTCTCAAGAAATTTTCGTCGCAAGTAGAAAATCCTTTGAAAACTATTGTATTAATGTATGTTGTATTTTATTCTACATAAGTTACCTTGAGAATTCATATTAGATTAAGGAGTCAAATTCATTTCACTCAATCTGCCTAAAAGCCAGTCTCTTTTTTCAGGAAATATGCATATTGACTAAAAAGTGAAGTCAAAATATACATTGCCTGAGTGATTCAGTCAATATACATATTGACTGAAATTTTCAGGCAGTATACATATTGCCCAATTAAAACACTGACTGTAACATATAAAAGTATGATTTGTTATAAGCAAAAACAAATAACATAAATAAATGCATTCATCTACATGTGTTGGTTGGTTGGTTTGTTGTTTAACGCCGCACTCAGCAATATTTCCAGCTATATGACGGCGGCCTGTAAGTAATCGAGTCTGGACCAGACAATCCAGTGATTAATATCATGAGCATCGATTTACGCAATTTGGATCGATGACATGCATAAACCAAGTCAGCGAGCCTGACCACCCGATCCCGTTTACGACAAGCATAGTCACCTTTTACGGCAAGCATGGGTTGCTGAAGACCTATTCTACCCCGGAATCTTCACGCTTATCATCTACATGTGATGATTGTTGGTTCAATTTGCATTTGTCATCATCAGAATATTTGATTATTCTAAAACCATATTTGCTATATGATAATATCTAATAAATAGACTTAATACTACAGGTGTCTTGAAGTACTGTTGAATGAAAATCAGGATACATAGCTATAGCCATGATAGAGGGATTATTGTATGGGTTGTAAGGGAAATAACTTGTCAACATAAAAATAAATATAATGCTACTAAAACAAGAAGATTCAACTATGATTTTCACATTTTAATGTCTCATACACATCTTGTGGGAGTCAGTATGATCTGTTGTTTGTTTGGACAAATCTCTGTAATTTACCACTATTTTAAGAGCATGAGTATAAGAACTATGCATAGACTCAATGTCCAGTCGAACTGAAACTCCGGAATTCCAGCCTAGTCCGGCAAGGGTGGAAACTTGACTTTAATAGTCAGTTAACGTCCTTGCCTTGAGAAAATGTGTATTCGGTGTCCTAGCCTACCTGCTTCATGGCATCTACACGTTTATTCAGTGCCTGGGCATTGGCAATGAGGAGATCAGCTGATGAGTCATGTTCCTTGAGGCGACTAATGAGGTAACTGGCATCACTCAGCAGTTTCTCTACTGTCAAAGCCATCCTGAAACAATGACGTGAAATGTACAATCATAAAATTCAATAAATGTTTAAATTAACCGTCCTAAAATGTGATTCATGTGAAGCATAAATATTTTGTAGGACTCTCTGTACAGCATATATTTGAACACAACACGCTCAGTGAATTTTCTCAGCTCAGAAATGTGGTGGCATGTTTTGTACTGTCAGACTGGGATGAAAATTTTATATTAATTAATTTATGATGGTCTCAGGCCCTCCTTGAATAAAACTAGGGATTTATCTAGGATTCAAAACTAAGTGCCCTTGGCAGGTAAATTGGGAAAACATTGTGATATGTTTCAAAATTGGATTTATAAATATTCTTATTTTCATAAAATCTGAGGAATTGGGAAAATTGTAATTCAGATTGGGAATTACTACTGTCATTTGCTGCAGATTCGTTGCCGAATATCACAGCAGATAAATCTCTGTAAACATTCCTGAAACACAATATCAAACAGTTTTTCACATGTCAAGTTCATATGGATCCTATTATCATGATTATGAGTGTGGTGTGAATACGCAGTACTGTTGTCATGGTACCTGACATTTATCTGACAGCATATAACAACATTACTTCTGGTTGAGTACACAGCAAAACTACTGCCTATGATCTCCACTTGGTAATGTTATAGCAAAATATATAATAGATGGAGGCCTGCAATAATTGAAATGAAATCCGTCATCTTAATATTAGTTTACAAAATGTGAACACTGCATGCACCTCTTTACCAATATTAAAAGTATTTTGACAATTTGCAAAGACTGGTTTCTTATATGTGTAATTTATAAAGTTGTAAACTTTGCAAACTTTGCTAACCTGACCTCAACCAAAACATAACATAATGGAAAAGACTGACGGAATATGCTGAAACAGTGAAAGCACAATATTGACACAGTAAAATCACAAGTTCAAAGGCATTTCCAGACGAAGATACAGCGCAATCATACTTTTACAAAACTTAAAAGACTATTTTCGCTATTCCTTATGAAACTAAGCATCCCGATATTACCACGAGTATAAAAAAATCCGTGCAACACCTGACAAACAACAAACCTGTTGAAAAATTTGACAGACTCGATATATATCCGGAAGTTAATGAAAACTTCTTTTCATCGCAAAGAGTTCCCCAAGGGCAGTAACTCTTTTACTTCAAAGGCCTGGTAACGGTGATTATAAGCGAACATGTCAAGTTCTACGTAGAGAGTCGATAGAGAGACGTTTCCTGAAGCCTCGATAGCATTATTTAATCCTGTTCTCCCACCAGAATAATATTTATTATGCTATCATTTTGCGATCGAAATTAATATTTGAGTAAATCTAGAAATTGAAAGAATAACACTTGATCAAGCACCATAGGTCTAATGAAAAATAAATAATTTACGCAAATGAAAGGATAATGGTGGGGCTACCTTAAGAAATGAGTCAAGAGTCAAGAGAATATATAATAATGGTAATAAAAGTTTATAAATGATTTACGATAACAGTAGTAGTAAGCTGAGCTCCGTCTTTTCATGTCCCTCTAATGTGGTTCCGTCTGTCTGCGCGCCGAATGTAATCCGAAGAGACGGCGCTCAGCTTCGGCACTGTGCATGCGGGAAAAATCAGAATCAATCTTCCCACCCGTATCGCGTCATATCGTTGGTCAGGGTAATTAAAATCCATAATCGAGTGAATCATTTCAAGGTTTCCTTGAAGGAAATTATGGTAGGCAGGCGATACAAACCCATCAATTGTTGTCCCCTGCCAGAACTGGTTTTACCTTGTTGATCATCTTCCATTTTTAATTCTTTTAGAACAGTGGCCTTCTCCTTTTTCTTTTTTTTAAAGAAACACTACTATCTGCAGCTTCAGTAGAGTGCAGGCAATGATAATTTAACTTGATTATGTAATTCATCACCATGAAATACAAGGGAGCAGTGATTTTTAATTTAGTGATTTTTAATTTTATTTAATAAAATACTGACATTTTATAATAATTTTGCCACATTTCTTCTCTCCCCCAAAACACAGTTTAGAGGCTGCCTGAGCTGTGGGTATAACAAATTAAAATTCAACTTATTTTACATTTATTTGGGAGGGATCAAGGTCATTTGCCTTACAAAACAAAACTCACTCGTCACATGGGATACCAGATGATCCATACCCACGGAGATTTATGCCCACTGAAAATAGCTAACTGGTCCAAAAATTCCTGTCCGAGCTGTACATGATTTGGAAATTCAAACTTTGTTTAGCTGACTCTTACACAAATTTGGATAACCCGTACATTAATCTAGATGATCCATACACAAATTTGGAGGACCCATACCCTTTTTAAAATTTTTGGTCATATATTCATATATGTAGCAAGTCGTTATTAAATCAAGATGTCCAAGATTGGATTGCATAACCAGTATAGACTGTAAAAAAACCCCAAGAAATATATATTCACAATCGTTTAAACACTGCACTCAATTCACATATTCTAGCATACAGTTTTGGCACTTTAATTTAATACACTGTCATGTACACTTTAACAGAATCATTACATAACACATTTCACAAAAATCATTTATTATTCGCACTATTTTCACACATTCAAACATTTTGAGCACTTTAATGGAAGTTCAATGGTCAATTTCAGTTTGTTCTTTCGTTTTTGGGGAAACTGATTAGAGTTACCTGCCCTTGATTATGAATTTGGATAAGAAAACTTCCGATGAGATTGGTTCCGAATGATGCTTCCGGGGTCCAGAAACTTAATACTTTTTTGTGTGGTCTAAATAAGAAAATCTTCCAAATTTAATAATTTCTAATGATTTCTGAAAAAATGAAAATTGACTGTCATTGGCTTGATATCATTTTGGTTATATATACTCCTTTCCAGACCAGCTTGGGGAATCTGGGTTGAAATAGGTCCCCAGCAACGTTTGCTGGTCGATTAAATGGATCAGGTGATCAGGCTTGGTGACGACGTAGGATCGTACCCTGACAATGTGGATCCTTGCTTCTTGCTCAATCACTGGATTATCTGCTCCAGATTCAATTACTTACAGACCACATCTGGAATATTGATGAGTATTGTATTAAGTAACAAACAAGTAAACAAAAAATCATTTCGAGATGATAAGGTGGTAATACATTAATCATTAGATTCCAAACCAGACACCTGACCCTAAGTTCCTACAAAGGGAGTTGCTTCATGTGTTCTCTTCTTGAATTAGGATGATTTTTAAAAATTTACAAATTAATATATCATTGACCAACTTCAACAAATTTTAATTAAAAATCCTGTCATGTTAAAAATTCAGGTTTGCAGAGCTCCAGATAAGCTGTGTATCTGCGTGAAATATGCATCAGAAATGCAGAAATACGCAGTAAAATAAAATCTGAGCGTATAAAAATGCAACGAACATTACAGATACGCTACAAAAACAAAACTTGTTCGTATCATCAAAATATTGTGAAGTAACCCTGCGTATTCGATTAGCAAATCAGCAACTTATTTTGAAAATATAAACAGGCATTCCGTCAACCTTGCCAAACTCCACGATGACAGTTACGTCATGATCATTTGCCATCACACTTTCTTGTGGAAGTATCGTGGTATTTTTGAGTCCTATAAAGCTCTCGAACCCACATGACACCAGTTTGCAGGACTATATGAATAGTGTTTTTAAATATTTAACTTAAATAACCACATGTGTAAAAACTAGTGGGTAACAGAAATTTGAATACCCAGATAGAATTACTGATACCCAATGATTTTAAAATGCATGGGTAAAATACCCACAACACCAAAAGCTAAATTGGAGCTCTGGGTTTGGCCCATAAAGAAATGTTGGAATTGGTCAAAATAAATATTAATAAAATTTATCTTCATTTGTTTGGTTACACGAGATTATTAAATAGATCCAATATTTTGTTGATCATGTTTGAAGTTTCCCTGGAACAGTTTCTCCATTTTCTTTTTTAAAGTGATGCTATAAGTTGTAGCAGTATCACAAGGGGGACATACAGGTTTAAGCATCCCCCTAACTGTGCTATGTCATGCAATCTCATTAAAATCAGATCTTAGTTCTTGCTGCCGCTAAACAAAGATCTGAGGACATCCCATTATGGGTCACGTCAGACCGACCTTTTGCAAACTCTGACCGACCAATGGAATTACTGACAAGAAGTCGATATTAGCCAATCAGAAGGCAGCTTTCTCGTGCTTTACGGCACTGATTTCAAATTGGCGACTACACTTCGAAACATATTTTGACAAATTCTCGTTTAAAAATTTGAAACCTGAACAAAAGAACATTCTCAAATGGCTAATATATGGTCTAGATTATATAGATTCAGTCGTTAAGCCCGTAACTATCGTTCGGAATACCCCGTTTTAAAGTTTTCGAGGCTGCATGAGGAGAAATCACATTCCGACTGTCACTTTCATGATCTGGTAAGCGACGCTCTGATTGGTCGGATGAAAGGTCGTTCTGACGTGACCCCTAATGGGATGTCCTCAGATCTTTGTTTAGCGGTAGCGAGAACTAAGATCTGATTTTAATGAGATTGTATGTCATGTGGCTTTCATTGACTTGGAAAAAGCGTGCAGTTTTTTGTTTCGAAGCAGGGTATAAGGGATGTATTCCGCCTCTCAGAAATCCACCCTGTCTTGTTCTTGGCGGGGTATAAAGGATTTCTTATGCTGAGAAATCTATTTCTCTCCAAGATCACATGAACCAATCACATCTCATCATTCTGACCTGACGATCATTGATGTCATTCTAAACATTTCATTAATCTAAATAATCTCTGAAAACATATTAGCTGACTTCACAGGAGATTTCTGCATTTAATTTGTTGTTGGTTTGGAAAAGCTTATGCTATTTTACTCAAACCACATCGCAACAACTTTCAGATTAATCTCAGAATGAACAACAGAAACTCAAAGACCCAAAACTGCCACTGACGAAGCATGATGAACACTGTTGATGAGGATGTTTTGTCCCGGCTAAACGCTGGTGAGGTTAAGGTCCCACCTGACAAACCTGAGGCTGACCTGCTTCGGGTTCCACGCCAAGAGGTAGAAATCTCGAAATGCAGCAGTGAGAATACTCACCAGGTGAAGCAGCTGATGGATCAGGTAGGATTTTTGATTGTTATGTCACATTTTTTACCTGATACTTGTAGGGTCTCCAGATTGTAAACCACTAGTTTTCTTGGTCTGGACCTCTTCATCCATATTTCACTCCCTGTGGACATTCTGTGGTCGTGACATAGTATGCCCCTTTACCCCTTTACCCCATGCTGGTCTCCCTGTGGGGATTCAAGGGCAGAATAGATCCCCAGTATACGATGTCTCCCTGTGAGGATTCAAGGGCAGAATAGATCCCCAGTATGTGATGTCTCCCTGTGGGGATTCAAGGGCAGAATAGATCCCCAGTATCCAATGTCTCCCTGTGGGGATTCAAGGGCAGAATAGATCCCCAGTATGTGATGTCTCCCTGTGGGGATTCAAGGGCAGAATAGATCCCCAGTATGTGATGTCTCCCTGTGGGGATTCAAGGGCAGATTAGATCCCCAGTATACGATGTCTCCCTGTGGGGATTCAAGGGCAGAATAGATCCCCAGTATGTGATGTCTCCCTGTGGGGATTCAAGGGCAGAATAGATCCCCAGTATCCAATGTCTCCCTGTGGGGATTCAAGGGCAGAATAGATCCCCAGTATATGATGTCTCCCTATGGGGATTCAAGGGCAGAATAGATCCCAAGTATCCAATGTCTCACTGTGGGGATTCAAGGGCAGAATAGTTCTCCAGTATCCAATGTCTCCCTGTGGGGATTCAAGGGCAGAATAGATCCCCAGTATCCAATGTCTCCCTGTGGGGATTCAAGGGCAGAATAGATCCCCAGTATACGATGTCTTCCTGTGGGGATTCAAGGGCAGAATAGATCCCCAGTATCCAATGTCTCCCTGTTGGGATTCAAGGGCAGAATAGTTCCCCAGTATCCAATGTCTCCCTGTGGGGATTCAAGGGCAGAATAGATCCCAAGTATACGATGTCTCCCTGTGGGGATTCAAGGGCAGAATAGATCCCCAGTGTCCAATGTCTCGCTGTGGGGATTCAAGGGCAGAATAGATCCCCAGTGTCCAATGTCTCGCTGTGGGGATTCAAGGGCAGAATAGATCCCCAGTATCCAATGTCTCCCTGTGGGGATTCAAGGGCAGAATAGATCCCCAGTATCCAATGTCTCCCTGTGGGGATTCAAGGGCAGAATAGATCCCCAGTATACAATGTCTTGCTGTGGGGATTCAAGGGCAGAATAGATCCCCAGTATCCAATGTCTCCCTGTTGGGATTCAAGGGCAGAATAGTTCTCCAGTATCCAATGTCTCCCTGTGGGGATTCAAGGGCAGAATAGATCCCAAGTATACGATGTCTCCCTGTGGGGATTCAAGGGCAGAATAGATCCCCAGTGTCCAATGTCTCGCTGTGGGGATTCAAGGGCAGAATAGATTCCCAGTATCCAATGTCTCGCTGTGGGGATTCAAGGGCAGAATAGATCCCCAGTATCCAATGTCTCCCTGTGGGGATTCAAGGGCAGAATAGATCCCCAGTATGTGATGTCTCCCTGTGGGGATTCAAGGGCAGAATAGATCCCCAGTATACGATGTCTCCCTGTGGGGATTCAAGGGCAGAATAGATCCCCAGTATGTGATGTCTCCCTGTGGGGATTCAAGGGCAGAATAGATCCCCAGTATCCAATGTCTCCCTGTGGGGATTCAAGGGCAGAATAGATCCCCAGTATACGATGTCTCCCTATGGGGATTCAAGGGCAGAATAGATCCCAAGTATCCAATGTCTCACTGTGGGGATTCAAGGGCAGAATAGTTCTCCAGTATCCAATGTCTCCCTGTGGGGATTCAAGGGCAGAATAGATCCCCAGTATCCAATGTCTCCCTGTGGGGATTCAAGGGCAGAATAGATCCCCAGTATACGATGTCTTGCTGTGGGGATTCAAGGGCAGAATAGATCCCCAGTATCCAATGTCTCCCTGTGGGGATTCAAGGGCAGAATAGTTCCCCAGTATCCAATGTCTCCCTGTGGGGATTCAAGGGCAGAATAGATCCCAAGTATACGATGTCTCCCTGTGGGGATTCAAGGGCAGAATAGATTCCCAGTGTCCAATGTCTCGCTGTGGGGATTCAAGGGCAGAATAGATCCCCAGTTTCCAATGTCTCGCTGTGGGGATTCAAGGGCAGAATAGATCCCCAGTATCCAATGTCTCCCTGTGGGGATTCAAGGGCAGAATAGATCCCCAGTATAAGATGTTTGTTTGTGGTATTATGATGTGTACCTTACAGGACCGTAAGTGCAATCAAAAAGCAATCAATTTATAACAAAATCAGCTTCCTTTTGTCAGAAACTCGAATCTAAAGGAGATAAAACTGAGAAAAACAAAACAAATGAACGAGAAAATTCCGGCATATTCTTCCCAGTGAGTTGAGGCTACATGCAGGTGATGATGACAAGTTTCACATTCCGTTAACTCATCATAATCTTCTGTACAGTTGTCGAGGGTGGAATATTTTCGCAGTAAGATCTCTCAGCCTCTCTGGTCATACATCTAAAAGCAGCAAGAAAACGTAATTGCAAATTATTACTTGCAAGTGATTCCATGACATTTGATTACACGGTAAACACAATTTTAAGGATAATAACTTCTTTAATACTGCTTGACAACAGTATAAGGATCTATACCGAAACGTCGCTTTTTCCAGTATTAAAGAAGTTGTTATCCATAAAATTGTGTCTACCTCGTCAACCGTCAACTTCTAAGTAATGCCTATCAAACAAGACATTTGATTAGCTAACCGTAAACTAAAAAAAATAAAAAATATGGTGATGCCCCCAAACAAACTACTGTCCTGATTGGCTGATAATAGAATAGGAAGGACTTTTGCTTCATTTGTATACTGGACGTTGTCGCTGATGTCGTATTGTTGTCTACAGTTTTTTGTGTTAGTGATAAATAAACAGTCTGTGAAATTATTATTGTTGACATATTTATTCATAAGAATTGACTTCAATATGTTTTTAAATTTACACCTCCATAAAAGTAAAAAGGACATCTTCCCGAGGCAAGGGAGTTAACTAACTATAAAAGTCCAGTTTCCACCCTTGCTGAACTAGACTGACCAGTGGTTATTACAAGTTGTGTCCCTTTTCTGCCCCTCCTATGGGCCAATCTTGTATCTCTTGCATTTGCTTCAAACAATGGTGGTGCCGAGTCAAGATGATCTGATCAATAATCAAGATCTCGAATTTGATAAAACGGGTCTTACATCACACAGTGCATCAAATCATGTGAGCACCTTGACTAAAAACACGAAAAGATTTGAAAAATATCTATTGACGCTGAGTTGGCAGTGCACATGTTTTGCAAATCCTGCAATCAACCGAAATCTGCACGATTTTGTAACACGATTTTGATTGGACTATGTATGCATAGACTCGTTAGTCCAGCCAAAATATAACTCCATAATACCAGCCTAGTTCGGCATGGATGGAGACTTGACTTTTATGGTCAGTTAACTCACTTGCCTCGGGAAGATGGAGCTACTTGGCTCTATATAACTTAGTATTTGTGCTACAAATCAAGTTACAAACATAAGTCCAGATATACAAAGAACACTTTTTATAGCCAGACAGTGTAATTACATGACTAATTTGCGTACATCAGTATGGATTTGTTGACATGGTATTTCCGGTGTTACGCGCTCACGGTAATGTCTTTCCATGGGTGAAAAACATCAAAACTCATTAATTCGTGTATTCTGTGTTTTTGGGAAAAAAAGTGTGCACTTTACTCAAGAAAATACGGTATTAGAGTTTACTTGTCGATGAAAGTCAATTAATTGTCACACTTATTTTACCTATCCGTTCTTCATAACATTCTTCCTTTATTCAGACTGATATTGTCTCTGATTTTGGTCTTCCTGCGACACAACAAATGTTCAGTGGACAAAGTGATTCTTTACCTGCTTCAACTGGATCTTTAGACGGTAATTCAATTATAAATGTTTGTTTATTTGCAATTTATCATGCCACTTGACTTACAAAATATTATATTAAGATTAGACACAATAAATTAATTATTTTGATTTTGATTTGAATTAATAAACAAATTTGGGGCAAGTTGCATTTTAATATATTTATACTGCTCCAAAAAAGTTAAAGACCTGATTCTTTCATATGACGGAGTTAATCCTTCAGGCCATGACAGATTTACTTGTGTCATATGAAAGAATTGGGCGTTCTTTAACTTCTTTTGAGTGGTATATTTATTATTGCACCAATTGGGCAAGTGGTCTGTGTACATTCAACAGAATGTTTGGTTGTATTGTATTGTATTTGTCTGCATTCTAAAATCCCATATGAAGAACATGTGTGCGTGTATTGCCACTCCAAAGGATTAACTCTAATTGAGGATGAGTATCATGTATTGTCAATCTCTGACAGATACCGAGCTGAAAGAAGAGAATGCTTTGCTGAAAGTTAAATCAACTTTAGCACATTTCAACAGTTTTTAAAACTTATGTCAACAAACTCCACAAGAACTTTAAAACAGATTGGACTATTTCTATCTAAAGTTATGACTATACGTAACTCATCACTGTTCTAACGTATTTAAAACTATTTGTCTTAACATAACGCCATAGTATATAAGCATGTATGATCTACATTATGTTAACATGTATTATGGGCTGGAGGCCTGATTACTGAATAAATCTGTCTGTCTGTCTGTATTTGTCTGTGGTGTATTTAATTAAGTACAGAAAGCAAGAAAGGCATGTCATGATTTGTGTTGTCTGTTGGTACTTGGTGTGAGGTGGGGTGTTTGGTAGTCAAGTTGATGGTAATGTAAATTTAATAATTTAACCGCAGGTAAATTTTTGCAATATTGCAAAAAGTGGCATTGAACATCACAATGTTTTAGAATCTGTGTGTAACCAATTAAAACATCAACTTAACCCATGAAAATTAAAAATATTGTAAGTCATACAAGTCAACATTTTAACATGTGAATTGTTTGTTTTTAGGCCAATGAATAATCTTTTTGTTTTGTCCAGCAAAAAATTGTTTTTGTATCAGTTTTATGAATGTCTTGATTTTATTGAAACGTAGCTATTCCCTGCTTTAGATATGAAACTATTTGGCTGTGAAATATTATATTCATTTTTTATCGTCTGAAAAAACAACCCAAAACCAAAAGTGTGATTACATGTTAATTTTGAAATTAAACTTCAGCAGACATGGATCAGTAAAACGTTTTTATAAAATTCCTACTTGTATGTTTTCAGATCCTGTATGGCTAACAGTAGAAAACTGTAAAAGAGCCATGTTGTTCACTGCAACGATAGAATCTGACTTCTTCAACAGTGGATTTGTTTCTTCATCGAATCGAGCACTCCCGGAGATGGACCGAAGAGTCCTAACGCTAGCTGCAACGACGGATGTTGTAGAAGGTGTATTCTTCTCGATCGCCTTCATGAAGGGGTCCACGATGTATGTGCGTTATTTTGAAAGCGGATGCCTTTCTGGTGCTATGTCATCCATGACTGAGGTTCTTCAGAAATCGGAATCCACAGTCACACAACTTTTCCGTTATAGGTAGATATTGTTAAATAATATTTAAACATATGAAAAGGGTCCCATGATGTATGTGCGCTATTTTGAAACTGAATGCCTCTCTTAGGGCTGGGACGAGTCCAAATTTACTACCCGGGTACCCGCTATCTTATTACCCGACCCTACCCGGGTACCCGCTGTAGATATTTAGAGGTAGGTATAACCTGTGTATGGGAAAGTTTGACCTTAGTCCTGGCAAATCGTATTTAGATACACCTGTAAAATGATCTGGTCATGCATACACTGAAGTTTTATCTTTATTCAAACATATAAAAGTCAGAAGGATTGGGTGCATTGTCAGAAAGAAATGGGAACATTAGTGACTTATTGTGTAACTGTAGAGTTTTTAGTTTTTGTCATTAAAAAATATATCACTAGACTAACCACGGTCCGGGTAGTCCTGTGGGTACCCGGGTCCTAGTCAGGACCCACCCGACCCGAGTACCCGAGTTAATAATCCCAACCTTTGCCTCTTTGGTGCCAACTTTTCTGTGATAGGTAAACCTGGTTTTATAATACTCAAACATACAATATGATAATGCAGAAATGATTTCACCAATGCTCAGTGTTATCAGGTCAATATAACACAATATGCTTTATTCTATATTGATTTTATCATGATTATTGTTTCAAAAATTGTTTTAAATTGTTAAGCTACTAATATGAAGTTGGATCCCGTATTGAGTAAAGATCTTTTCATTGTTCACACCAACCAAGATCAGGTTACTGTTATGGATGCCTTAAAATGAACATCAGTTATCAGAGAATGTATACATATTTCATAAATGCCATACATTGACCCAAAAAGTCAAATTTGTGGTTGAGTATTATACGTCAACATATTGTTTTCACTTATGTCTATGATGATAAAATCCAAATTATGCACACACAAATATCCTTTATGTTGTCAGAATTTTCACCCAAGAAGACTTGGACATGAAAATACAACATCTGAAACATGCAGCTACTAACAGAAGCAGATCACACACTGAAGATGGGGACACAGGTATGGATACTGCTGGTTTTTATAGCATCAAGAAAAAGCCTGAGGGACAGTAAAAAGTCAACATTAGATGCATATTAAAAGGTTATTTATACAGTTCAACTGTAAAATGGGGCGGTCGGGTAGTCTGGTGGTTAAAGCGTTCGCTTGTCACGCTGAAAACCCGGGTTCGATTCCCGACATGGGTACAATGTGTGAAGCCCATTTCTGGTGTCCCCCGCCGTGATATTGCTGGAATATTGCTAAAAGCGGCGTAAAATCAAACTCACTCACTCACTCACTCAACTGTAAAACCTAGGGCTTTCAATTCAAATGTGTGAAACCTCAAAGTAGGTCTTACAATTTATATGTAAAACCTCCAAGCAGGTCTCACTTGAAAGAGGATTCAAAAACTGTTTTAGCTCACCTGACTGAAAGTAGTCTCAAGTCAAAAAAGTTCAACACATCAATTTTATGTCATCTGTAAAAGGTGAGCTTCTGTACATCGTGTCTGTGTTTATGGAAACTTAATTAGTAGGTTTAATAATAGAGTGAGTGAGTGAGTTGGGTTTAACGCCGCTCTTTACAGTAGTCCAGTTATATCGCGTGTCAGCTTAATGTGGGAGGAAAGCCCAAAGTGATGCAGGTCTCAGACGTTTACCACTTCGGTGAAACCCATGAGCACGGGTATGGTGCTGACAAACCTAGAAACATAATCAAGGCGAACCGGGATTCGGGATAGGTGACCCGTTATTTTGTGTTCAATGCCTAACATCGGTAATGTGTTTATTCCAATTTGCTGCAGTTATGTTACTGGTCAAATGGGTAAATAGAAGACATCGAAATGACGGATCTGAAGTACTCCAGCTATGCTCATATATGATTTTCTGAGTAATTTGAGACCAAATATTCTTTTAACCAGTTTTATTCACAAATATTTTAAACAAAATACACGCGCTCTATGGTGGCCTGGAATGTTTCACTTGACTTCAGCTGACTGTCCCAGGTTTTACATGCTGAAATAGACCAACGAACATACATGAGATCTTTCATTGCAAACAATATAGAAGGTGAGGTGAGGCAGGGTTTAGCGTCACGTTAAAGATCATTGCACTTACACAGCGCCGTGAGTGAGTGAGTTGGGTTTCACGCCGCTTTAAACAATATTACAGTTATATCGCGGCGTGTCAGCTTAATGTGGGAGGAAAGCCCAAAGTGATGCAGGTCTCAGACGTTTACCACTTTGGTGAAACCCATGAGCATGGGTATGGTGCTGACAAACCTAAAAAAATAACTGGGGCGAATCGGGATTCGAACCCACAATAATAGGTTTCTGGTGTGCCCAAGGGATGCAACTCTGCACAGCGAATCGCGGCGCCTTAGACGACTGGGCCACCCGTGCCCCCGTGCGGCAAAGTAATCATAGAAGCATTTTTTGTTTGTTTGCTGTTTAACGCCGCACTCATCAATATTCTAGCTAAATATTCTGTAAATAATCCAGTCTGGACCAGACAATCCAGTGATGTATATCATGAGCATTGATCCATGCAATTGGGATACGATGACATGCATCAACCAAGTCAGGGAGCCTGACCACCTGATCCTGTTAGTCGCAAATTATGACAAGCATGGGTTGCTGAAGACCTATTCTAACACAGATATTCACGTGTTAAGGGTGAAAACATCCTGCACAGTGGGGTAGTCCAGTGGGCAAAGTGATAGCTCATCATATCAAAAAGTTTGATTCTCCACATGGTACTATATGTAATTATTGATGTCTGCTGCTGAACTTTAGGTTGAACCTGTCATGTATGGATGGGCATCAAAAGCTAACAAGGAGGCAGAAGATATTTCAGAGCTTATTAATGTTCAATGCACATTGTTACATCATGGCTGTCAGTTCATACTAAAACTTTGAATGGGAATTACTCTGAAAAAGGATTTAGAGTAACATATAAATTGTGAATAAATTTTACTAAAACAAAATACAGTAAACTACGGTTATAATGAACTAAAAAGGACCACCATAGTTTGTTATAACCGTAGTTTGTTATATGCATATATACAGCCTATGTATCGCAAATGGACAGGACCCAAGAACAGATTGTTATATTCGTCAGTTCGTTATGAATGTAGTTTACTTGTATGTTACAGAACATGACTCAATCACTCACTTTTACAGGACTCAAGAGACAACGCTACAGCCAGTATTTTCGAACAAAATACAATGGGTGTAAGGATGCGTTCGACCGTTTGTCTCTCCTTGCTCTGTCGGACTTTCGGAGCAGCTTCCAGGTGTCATCAGTGATTTTTCACTGCATCAAGAAATTTGCAGATGAAAATCATACAGACAGGTATGCATGATATCATCCAAGTGAGCATGGCCCATTCCTACAACACTGCTGAACAGATCACTATCACATTTCTTGAACATGTTCTGGACTTACTCACAGTGTGTGAGTGAATTCGCTTTATGTCACGGCAAAGATGTATATACTGAATATCGCTGTGTATAAAGCAATCCCACGTTTAAGGCACCCCCCCTGTACACGCCTTCAAAATCGACCCAAAATCCTATACCCCGTCTAGTAAGCAACCATGAATGAAGCACATCAAACGCGCGCACACAAACCTTATATATACATCTATATAAGTCTTTGATCACGCCACGGTTCACTGGGCAGAGTTGCGTCCCTTCGGCACCCCAGAAACCTATGATAGTGGGTTTGAATCCCAGTTCACCCTGATTATGTTTCTAGGTTTGTCAGCACCATACCCGTGTCCCTGGGTTTCACCGAAGTGGTAAACGTCTGAGACCTGCATCACTTCAGGCTTTTCTCCCACATTAAGCTGACACGCCGTGATATAACTGGAATACTGTTAAAAGCAGCTTTAAAAGCCAACTCACTCACTCAATCTCTGTAAGTTAGGTTATGGGTATTATTGTACCTATTTTCAGTCACTGGTTTGCTGTTCCAGGTTTAGTTATCCATAGGCAGTGATATAGCTGAAATATTTGTGGGATCATAAGTAGATAAGATTCTCATATGCCATGCCATGAGAGATTTTAAGACGTTTTTGTATTTTTCATTTTGTATTATTCCAACAGGCCCCTACACATATTTGGTCTCAGAGCCACTGCTCCCTACAGCCAAGTTCTGAAGACACACAGGTTCAAACAGCATCCTGTTGCTGAGTCTGTTGATTTCAAGAACTTAAAGGAAGAAATTAAGCCTAAGACTATTGAGGAGGAGTTTGACATCTTGTCCTCCATGTCAAATTATCACTGGAAGATCGATCGTTCCGTGCATATGTTGCAGTATTTTTCCACTGGTGACATCAAGACAAGGAAGTCTCCTGCTTCAATTAGGAATAAAATAATATATGCCTTAAGAGCAGGTTGCCAAGACAAATACAGAAGCAGTGTGAAGATGCTTTCTGACCAATACATCTCAATCTTACCCTGGGCTCCAAGGCTGGTTAAGAAACGGCACAGTGATGAACTTGTTGGGAGAGTGAAACGCTTTGCCAATTCTTTCATTCTACCAAAGCCCACAGTCCCAAATGTCACTCTTGACAACTCATTGAGAGGCCTTCAAACTGTTGAAGATGGCACTACTCTGCATCCGGGCCCTCAGAAACAAAGCCTCCTTGCTAACCCTGTGAGGAGAGAAACCTGTCCTGTCATTCTACCAAAGCCAATTGTCACTGGTGTCACTCAACCTACATCACTGCTCACCAACTCATCAATAGGCCCCAGTCAAGATGGGTCTACTCTGCATCAGGGTCCTAAGAAAAGATGCCTCCTGGCTAACCCTGTGAGGAGAGAAACCTGTTCTGTCATTCTACCAAAGCCAATTGTCACTGGTGTCACTCAACCTACATCACTGCTCACCAACTCATCAATAGGCCCGAGTCAAGGTGGGTCTACTCTGCATCAGGGTCCTAAGAAAAGGTGCCTCCTGGCTAGCCCTGTGCGGAGAGAGACACCAGTAACTTTTAACAATTCTGTCATTCTACCAAAGCCCACAGACACAACTCGTGTCAGTCAAACTACATCACTCCTCACCAACTCATCAATAGGCCCGAGTCAAAATGGCTGTTCTCTCCATCAAGGTCCTAAGAAACAAAGCCTTCTTTCTTATGCTCTGAGGAAAGAAACCTTTGACAATTCTGTGATTCTACCGAAGCCCACAGTCACCACTAGTGTCACTCAACCTACATCACTGCTCAACAACTCATCAATAGGCCCGAGTCAAGATGGCTCTACTCTGCATAAGGGACCTGCAAAAAGGAAATGCCTGCTCACTAAGCCTGTCAGGCACCCACCAGTAACTGTTAACAATTCTGTGATTCTACCAAAGCCCACAGACGCAACTCGTGTCACTCAACCTACATCACTCCTCAACAACTCATCAATAGGCCCGAGTCAAAATGGCTGTTCTCTCCATCAAGGTCCTAAGAAACAAAGCCTTCTTTCTAATGCTCTGAGGAAAGAAACCTTTGACAATTCTGTGATTCTACCGAAGCCCACAGTCACCACAAGTGTCACTCAACCTACATCACTGCTCAACAACTCATCAATAGGCCCGAGTCAAAATGGCTCTACTCTGCATAAGGGACCTGCAAAAAGGAAATGCCTGCTCACTAAGCCTGTCAGGCAAGACCCACCAGTAACTGTTAACAATTCTGTGATTCTACCAAAGCCCACAGTCACCACTAGTGTCGCTCTACCTACCAACTCATCAAAAGGCCTTAGTCAAAATGGCTCTACTCTGCACCAGGGCCCTATACAAATGAAATGCCTGCCCACTAGGCCTCTGGTGGGAGACACGTCAGTAACCTTTAACAATTCTATCCTTCTACCTCTGTCGACAGTCACTACTAGTGTCGCTCTGTGTCAGGATAATTCCTTCAGAAAGGAAGTAAGTCATGATTGTTATATCCAAAGAGGAATGTTCAAGTCGCTGTCATTTTGTAAAGTGACACTGCTTCACGAAGAAGATGATGATAACACACTTCTTCAGTATTCTTGGATTTAGTGTTCCTCAAAAGGTTACCATGGTTACTGTGTGCAAGGGTTGGGTGGATCCTGAGTAGGACCCGGGTACACACAGGACTACCCATGGACCCATGGTTAGTCATGTGGTATATGATTTAATGACAATACACCATGGTTATACTACAAGTCACTAATGTTCGCCTTTCATCTTGAATGTGCACCCATTCCTTTTGATATTTAGGGGCGGTCGGGTAGCCTAGTGGTTAAAGCGTTTGCTCGTCACGCTGAAGACCCGGGTTCGATTCCCAACATGGGCACAATGTGTGAAGCCCATTTCTGGTGTCCCCCGCCGTGATATTGCTGGAATATTGCTAAAAGCGGCGTAAAACCATACTAAATCACTCACTATAACTTTAGTCAACTTCAGTGTATGAATGACCATATTCGTTTAATAGGTGTATCTAAATAGTTTTTGCCATGGTTCCGGTGAAACAATTTCCAACATTTTGTAGCCAACTCTGGAGAGGTACAGTGGCTACAGTAGGGCCAGGTAGGGGTGGGTAGCTGGGGGTAAGTTTGGACTCCTCCCACCCCAAGTGTGTACCATGTTTACAGGGACTGCTGAATGTGTTTATGATACAATTTGAGTTCCTGTTAGTTCCCAGCAACTCTTTTTTGATATTAGTTGCTTTACAAATTGTTTTGCCTAATATTAAATTTTGGTGATTGAAAACCATTAAATTAAATTTCAGATAAGTACTGCTACTTATGAATGAAGAACAAATAAGTTTTAACATGGCAAAATACCCAATGATAATTGATTGTTTGTTTGTTTGAATAAAGATTTATACATATTTTTCACTATTTTTCAGGAACATCGGTGTTAATCTGGTAGTTTTTTCTTTCATCTAATTATTATACACAGTGTTTGTCCGAAAAATAGTGAAAAGGTGTATATTTTGTCTAATTTAAGTTGTTTTTGTTGTTAGTCAGTATCATAAACCACAGACCTTGAAACATAATCAGGGCAAACCAGGATTCAAACCCAAAATCATAGGTTTCGGGGGTGCCCAAGAGATGCAACTCCGCTCAGCGAATTGCAGCGTTTTAGACGCCTGGGTCATCCGTGCCCCCAGAAAAGTTCAAAGAGATTCTTCTGATCACTGGATTTCCACTATCTTCTAGAACATTCTCATACCTGGGCTTGTCTATCTTGGAGTCCACAGGACTACAGTTTGTGAGCCCAAGGCATGAACAGGGGGCCCCAGGCTGGTGTCATCTGGCAGCTTCACTTGTTACTGATGCGGCCTCACTGCTAATACTCAGAAGCATTAAGCCTACCAGGAATTTCCATGTAAGATTAAAGAAAATCTTCCATTGAGACCCTGAACCTTGTTTGTTTGTTTGTTGTTTAACGCTGCACTCAGCAATATTACAGCTATATGACGGCGGTCTGTAAATAATCGAGTCTGGACCAGGCAATCCAGTGATTGACATCATAAGCATCTATCGACGAAATTGGGATCAATGACATGCATCAACCAAGTCAGCAAGCCTGACCACCCGATCCCGTTAGTCGCCTCTTACGACAAGCATAGTAGCCTTTTACGGTAAGCATGTGTTGCTGAAGACCTATTCTACCCAGGATCTTCATGAGTCTGGGTTTATGAAAGTACAATTACTAACATATCCTTGTCTACATTAAATACAGACTTGTCCACACTATGAACCGTGCATTCACACGTTGTCAATAGCACATATTTAGAGACAGAGTTCTTTATAAGAAGGGTAATCTCTCCCGCGTGTCAACCACGTGAATGTATTCCGGTTGCTGTAATCGTAAAACATCTAAAATCAGTGAAATTACGTATGTTTGACATCATTAATCCAGGTTTCACAGAATCCTATTTTGTCGTATAACCTTGTATTACACATAGTAAGGAGACCACATGCGTTCCAAAATAACAGTTGTACATGTTGTCTTAAAGTAACGGTGATCTTGGCGCAGACATCCCTATTCCCCACCGTCATTCGGAGGGTGAGGTGAGGTGAAATTGGGTTTAACGTCGCGTCCAAGATTATTGCACTTATATAGCGACGTGCATGCACGTGTATGTGTGTGTGTGGCTGCTTGTACTAGTCCGGACTGATGCCGATTTATAGTGCTAGCTCACTGAGATACCATGCCGCAGTTTAACATGAATACCCCACTCAGACACAGTATACTGACTCCGAGCCGACCAGTCCTTGTTTTAGCCCCTTAATGCCGAGCGCCAGACAGGGTAACAACAAGTACAATCTTTTTACGTCTTTTTGTATGACGCGGCCGGGATCGAACCCTGGACCTTCCGCTCTCCGGGCGGACGCTCTACCACAAGACCACGGAGGCGGTCCCATTCGGAGGGATTACTACGGTATTTCTGACACTATCAGGGGGTGTTTATTGGTACCGATGTGACTGGGATCATCAGTTCTATGAGGGGTAGCTGGTCTTTCACAAATAGATTACCATTTTTGAAGCAGCAGAACTTCCCTTGCCCCTTCAAATCTCTGAGTTTACTTCTTTGCGTTTGGGTCAAATCATTTGCAATACCGATGCCACATTTCTTCAGGTTTGACATCAGCCAACAATTTCGTTTTCCCGGCAGTTTTGTTTTATTACAAACAACCGCACTCACGTTGGCGACCCGTGAAAACATCCGTGGTTGTATAGGTCTTCAGCAACCCATGCTTGCCGTAAAAGGCGACTGCTCGTCGTAAGAGGTGACTAACGAGATCGGGTGATCAGACTCGCTGACTTGGTTGATGCATGTCATTGATCCCAATTGCGTGGATCGATGCTCATGATGTCAATCACTGGATTGTCTGGTCCAGACTCGATTAGTTACAGACCGCCGTCATATAGCTGTAATATTGCTGAGTGCGGCGTTAAAAAACAAACAAACAAAGATATCCTCCAAATGACTGGTCACGTATATATACCGATTAGGGGAGACTTATATGCACGCACGGGATCAGAACAAGATTTTATGGAAGACGTTATAGCAGAGAGACTAGGTAATGCTGAATGCGGCGTTAAGCAACAAACAAACAAATTGCTTGAGCATATACAGCGTCATATTTTGTTTAAAGGTTGTTGTCGGTGTTTAATTCAGATCCACAAGCCACTCAAGACACTGGACTCAACCGACGCTGCTTCACTCAATACATTCACTAACACCAGAGAGTTCGCGCTTTATTGTGTCAGCGCAGCGTGAGGTTTCAAATGTCACATTTAACACGGCTAAATCTACAGGTAACCTAGCTCTACATCGAAAACACAGTATATATATCCACTAATTGACACGGGGTAGTTACAAAACATGTCATCAGATAATTTTGTGTATATCACTCTCTGAACAAGGACAATGTATCGTTAGACAACGAATACAGGATAAGATTGATATAAATGGCTGTTTTATATAGAAATGTATTGTAAGCAGTGAGCTATAACTCTTCTATCGTCGACACAGCACGGTTCCTTAATGATGGGGTTAATCTTACCGCATCTTACAGAGACAAACAGTAGTAGCTTCCATCACCTGGCCGTTTTCAGAGTATTTCGCAAAGAACAGGTGACCCGTTATTTTGTGATCAATGCCCAACGTCGGTAATGCGTTTATTCCGATTTGCTGCAGTTATGTTACTGGTCAAATGGGTAAAAAGAAGACATCGAAATGACGGATCTGAGTGAGTGAGTGAGTTGGATTTAACGCCGCTTTTAACAGTATTACAGTTATATCGCGGCGTGTCAGCTTAATGTGGGAGGAAAGCCCGAAGTGATGCAGGTCTCAGACGTTTACCACTTTGGTGAAACCCACGAGCACGGGTATGGTGCTGACAAACCTAGAAACATAATCGGGGCGAACCGGGATTCGAACCCACAATCATAGGTTTCTGGCGTGCCCAAGGGATGCAACTCTGCACAGCGAATCGCGGCGCCTTAGACGACTGGGCCACCCGTGACCCCTTGACGGATCTTAAGTACTCCAGCTATGCTCATATATGATTTTCTGAGTAATTTGAGAACAAATATTCTTTTCACCAGTTTTATTCACAAATATTTTAAACAAAATACATGCGCTTTATGATGGCTTGGTATGTTTCACTTGACTTCAGCTTACTGTCCCAGGCTTTACATGCTGAAATAGACCAACAAACATACATGAGATCTTTCATTGCAAACAATATAGAAAGTGAGGTGAGGCGGGGTTTAGCGTCGCGTTCAAGATCATTGCACTTACACAGTGCCGTGAGTGAGTGAGTTGGGTTTCACGCCGCTTTTAACAGTATTACAGTTATATCGCGGCGTGTCAGCTTAATGTGGGAGGAAGGCCCGAAGTGATGCATGTCTCAGACGTTTAACACTTCGGTGAAACCCACGAGCACGGGTATGGTGCTGACAAACCTAGAAACATAATCGGGGCGAACCGGGATTCGAACCCACTATCATAGGTTTCTGGGGTGCCCAAGGGATGCAACTCTGCACAGCGAATCGCTGCGCCTTAGACGACTGGGCCACCCGTGCCCCCACAGTGCTGTGAGTGACTGAGCATGTTTTTTTCAGGAATATCACGGCGGGGACACCAGAAATGGGCTTCACACATTGTACCCACGTCTGGAATCGAACCCGGGTCTTCGGCATGACGAGCAAACGCTTTAACAACTAGGCTACCCGAACGCACCGACAATGCTGTGAATACAGGTGTGTGACTACTAGACCGGACTAATTCCGATACTATAATGCTAAGGAACAATGCCGCAGTTTTAACATCTATTCCCTTCACAGATACAGTATACTGAATCTTAATGTATCCGAGCTGTAACAACGTCTTTAAACGTATTTTGGTATGACGCGGCCAGAGGATCGAATCCGCTACACCATGGTACCCGTGAAGTTCCGCGTTAGAATAGGTCTTCTTGTTTGTTTGTCTTTTAACGCCTCACTCATCAATATTCCAGCAACATGATGGCTTTCTGTAAATAATCGAGTCTGGACAAGACAATCCAGTAATTGACATCATGAACGTCGATCCACACAATTGGGATACGATGACCTGCATCAACCAAGTCAGCGAGCCTGACCACCCGATCCCGTTAGTCGCCTCTTTCGACAAAGCATTGTCGCCATTTACGGCAAGCATGGGTTGCTGAAGGTGTCACTAACTGAACATTAGAGGCACGTGTCTTGAATGTTTACTGTTACATTTACTGTGGTGAAATACAGACGCCATTATGGTGCCAATAGGACAATGATCATCTCCTGGGTAAATCTGACTCGAATCCAAGATCAGCTGATCCTAGCATGGCTAAGGGACG